GTATTTTCAGTTCAACATAAACCGTTTTATAATAAATGCCAATATAGTCCGGTGTGCTGTAACGCCTTGAGGACTTGCAGACTTCTTTTCATTACATAGGTTCTGCCAACTTTTCAATTTATTTTAGGTTCATTATGGTGGATTATTTCTGTTATTGTTTTACAGATACACAACTCTATTAATACTAGTTTGTAGAAATAAGACATGAAGGCCAACAGCTTCTTACGCGAGACTTGATGTCAGGGCCGTTGAAATGTGGGTTATGGTATTCTGGGTTGTGACGCTGCGTAGTGATGATGGAGGTTATTAACAAATCAGAGGAACGTGTTGCCTACATATTTAGGGTAGAAGTGAATAAGATGTTAAAAATGGAGGCGGTACGTCCTTTCAAAACCCCTGGATCTCTCAATCAGTTCCTTTTTTCTGTACGGATTTCTCACTGCGACTGAATCTGTATTACACATCCCATAACATCACAAACATAAGAAACTTCACGCTTCAGCGGTTGGTAGTTCGAAGTCGTATTTGGAAGGTCTCGAGTACGAATCTCGTTCAGGAGAGCGGGTGTCATGTCTGAGAACACGACCATTTAATGCAACATTTTACAATTTATCGCTCACACAATTATTCGACACAGTTGAAAAAATGGTGCAACATGACCGGAGAATCAATATATAGTCCTTTATTCATATATGCACGACGTACATACATGTGCATGTGTTCCTACTGGCAAAAGTAGATATAAAAGTATCGGCATCTTTTAAAAGTTCCAGACATGCATTCCCTTTGATGTGCCATATTCAGTCCTAAGGATGGACTCTGTATGTTCCTCCGAAACGATGGTATACTACGTTCCAGCGTTTTTGGCCGCTGAACTTTTGTGAGTTGGAAACTTAGACCGAATCAGTTACCAGAAGTTTGCTGGAATGGATGGCAGCAGGCCGCTTACAGTTCACTCCAAATAAAATATCACCACCTTACGTAACACAGGAAAGTCGATTTTACTACACTACACATCACTCGAAAATTAACACTGCAGAGAGTATTAGATAATTTTATCATCTTCATAACTCTTCCGTCTTCTTCCAGTTTTTCTATTCCTCTCAGACCATCGCTTTCTGACATCACCTGATTCATCACTACTGCTGCTGCTGTTCATTCAATTATCTTTAATTACAATACGTTCAATAGAGTCTTCGATTATGCCTTCTTGCTCTTAATTAATTTATTCTAGTTTTTCCACATGCTGACAATCATTATCCCATTCCTCATGCCCAATTTCTTCGAATCTCTGGCTACACAGATGCTCGAAATCCGTAATTTTAGATGTTGTCTTCTTGCTTGGAACCCATTGTCTTAAATCTGCCCAAATAAGTTCAATGGGGTTTAAATTGGTATGGTACGGCGGAAGTCTCACTACAGTACACTCTTTGTCTGCTAAAATTTGATCATTCACATATTTTTCGTACTTTGATTTATTTAATTTGATTAAATCGTACAGTTGAGCTTTCAACACGTTGTCACAAAATGGGATGTTCATTTCCAATAGCCAGGCTTTCATTTCGTCCTTTTTGATTAAGACGTCGGTGGTTTGTCTGTCTGAGAGTTGTGATACGAGGCATCATCAATGGCCAGAAAGGAGATTGCAACGAACAGGTGTCATGTTGTTAGCACAGCTCAGTCACAAGACAACAATATCAGGCTTCCACACTGCTGTACTGACCGACGTAAACTCCTTCCTTCCTTCATTGAGTGGTCCGCATATTGGGCACTCCCTACAAGGTCAGCGGCCATAATCGGTGGATCCAGTTCTATATACCAAACTGACTACAACATAATTCTTGATTTTACTGCTTCTTGTCCAAGTTTCACACCGGTTTCTTGAAAGGAATTACTTCGTAATGAATCACCAAACTGGAAGACCAGCTGAAGAATAATGCTGATATGTTTTATTCCTGAAGTCGTAACTCATGCCTAGAGTGGTACTTCATTAACAAGACGTTCATGTTTTCACGAGATTCGGCCCTCTTTAAAGTGGTCCATATTTCACATTTAAATAGTAAATTATGTCCATTCATGTCGTCTCGTGTCCTACAGAGTTTCTCCTCGTTACGTGCTTGTGAAGACATATAAACGCGTTACGACGGTATCAAATGTTATCAAAGATTCTAACTCACACCTAACTCGTGAACTGTGATAGTTAAATGTAGCTTTTCGGGCTGCAACATACTTGAGACCAGAGAAAGATGGTTTTGTCTGTCTGTGTGCTAAGCACCTCACCATGAAGACAAGCTGAGCGAGAGGGGATACCGGCCAGAGGGTGGAGGTGGTGATAGAGAATCGAACTCCTGTTATCCAGCCTGTAGCCATCACTTAATTGGTCGATACATCAGACTAAACGCTAAGAATCTGGCACTGGAAAATGCGATAAAAGATGGATAGCATTTTCCTTTACCACGAAACTGAACTACGTGCCTACGCCCTGCGGTTGACAATGATGAGTTTTCAGGAAACAAGGTATGAAGATGGGAGGCGCATGATCTGGCTCAGGATCACATCCAACGGCGAAAAACATTCAATTATAAATCGTACATCAGTAAATCAGCAAGGGCGATATGATATTTCACATATTCCTACAGTTCGCGCTGGTCCATGACAGGTGATACAGAATCATGATGCAGGTTTAGTTGAACTACTGTGCTTTGATAGGCTGACAAGAACGACAACGTTGTTAACATACCTTCCACTGGAATTATCTTGCCTGGGAACAAGACAGAAAAGAACATCTCACTTAACGAATTCCACTGCGTTACCAATTTAAATGACTTGTTATAATTCTCCCCACGGGGTCATCTAAATGGAAAGTAATCTTAGTACTTTTCCTTCCACATGAGAACGGAAAGGTACACTGCCTGTGAAATGTGGGAAGGAGGAAGACAGAGGATGTCTGAGAACAGGGGTTTGAGACGAATATCAGAACAGAGGCCAAGACCAAGGTTCTTTCTTTGAAGGAAGCATCCCGATAGAACGGGGGATGAGGATTCAAGAAGGGCAAGAACCATTTTGAAATAAAATATGATTTCTTCCAACAACTGTACACAGGTTTTTCTGCAAACTAAGACTTGACAAATCGGTAAAACAGAACTAGTGATAACCTTTGCACGAAGATTTAAAAATAACATTATATGTTTTAGGCGTTATAGTCAACACAGGTGCCTGGCCTTTTGTGGAAAATTATTATGTCAAAACTTCGAAAATTCTTTGACATTTGTTAGGAATCCTTGGACGCTCGTCGGCAAATTGCAGTACCTCTACCTACTCAGGACAGCTCAAACCGAAGACATGGCCACACTTTATGTGTAGAATCGAAGTCGAACACACAGTCTAACTGTTCTAGCTTCAAAGAACGCCTTACTGAGCGCGGCTACCGCAATAAAAATTATATCACAATAATATCGTACTTTTGATCACTTTCGACTTCGTATTGCTGGTTAGTAACTTTATCATCATCCGGATAAAACCTGATCTTTTTCGTTTATTCAGTTTTCCTTTATTGTAATTCCAAAACTCACTCACTTCATACTTTGCGTTTTGTGTAATTCTTTTTAAATTACTTTTCAAATATCTTGTTAAATTAAAAAAGCAAATTTCGGAACAATTCTAAAAAAATTATTCAATGCTAACGGGAGTGTTTACATACTTCACATCTTTCGCTACAATTCTTGTTTATTCTGCATTCTTGAGCTCACATGTAACGTATTCAATTTAAATGTGGGAATTAAATTCGCATAACAAAGTATGTAACTAAATAATTACATTAATACAAACAAGAAGCTAAAATTATGGCGTAAGAGCCCTCTGAGAGCCAAAGCTGACTAGCTTGACTGCTGGCCTCACGTTCACATGCCTAAGCAGAGGTGAACGATCATCCAACCAGATATAGGGAGACGTGTGGTCAGCACGACGAACCCCCAGCCATTGCTAGCTTTTTCCTGACCGGATTACGCTACCCATTGTAGCTCCCCAATTTCCTCACGATGCTGGGTTGGCACCGGTCCCATACACTGGTCGAAAATCTCATGAGAAAATTTCTTCTCTCCCGAGACTCGAACCAGCGCGCTTTCCGTATCGCCGGTCCGAAGCATGATGCCTCAGACCGCGCGGCTACGGCGCGGGACGTACAAACAAGAAGCTACAATTTTTTTTATAAAATTCGTTACAAATGGAAGAACACTTTCTGGTCAACGAAGGGGTGTGGGGATTTCAGTAGATCAGAAAGGAGCACGAGACGCTAATCTAAGAGGAATTAATTATTACGGGAAATTAAAAACTGCCGCAGTGTACAGCTGCGATCTTCTTCACCAAATACTGTTCAAAGGGGACAAGATGAGGGTACTCAGACAGTCTTTGAGGCAAAGCAATAAAAGTATTATTGCAAAACGTGAGGGGCAGAGACCACCCGTGACAACTCGCAAAAATGGAAACAAAAAACATTAAAACAAACCGTAAATATATAGGTTGTCAAGCTATAGGTCGGGTTAAACTGGCTTAGGTAAGGACTAAGAGCGAGCTTACGTTCTCACTGTGATAAGTCTTCATATTCGACACGAACCGAGGATGTAATTATCAGTTGCACACCTGAAGGTGACCGCCGTGTAGTCTGGTACAAATCGACCGATGTTTTGTAGATGCTTATTGCCCTGAATACTTGAAGGGAATCCACTGATGGAAGACCAGCTTTAAGCAAGGCATATGTTTCGTTTCTCCAGGAGATACTAGTAGAGTCACCGAATAATCAGCACAATACTTCGAAATCCTGAGACGCATCACGCTTTTAATACTCCTCAATAATTAGAATTAACAAATGTCTTCAGTGCAAACGCACTTATACTCGTCTAGTTGGAGGGCAGCTGGGTCATATTACATGGGAGCCAGTCAAGGGCACTGCTCAGTCCAGACAACCCACCCTCTTGTTAAGGTGGAGGGAAGGGTTGAGGTATAAAACCAGGTACACGCTGCGGTGATTGCGTCAGAAACCATTGGAGATTCTCCCACACCAGTGGACACTATGGCACCCACTAATCACACCAGGGACGTGGTAAGTACACACGACACAAGGTACGCCATTATTGTTTCAATGTGACTTCATCAATGTTTGGAAATTATGGCCAAAGTGCAATTTTCGTGTGATATTTATATAATCAGATCATAAATCGTCATATGGTTTACTTTAACAAACGCAAGTCCTGTAAATTTCCAGTGAAATTTATGGAAACGATGACACATGTTTCTGTGCTTGCGAAATTTGAAGCAGGAGCTGTAAAAGAAAACTTAAAGGACGTCTTATATATTAGTATTAGTAACAGGGAGGAGGATTTACGTCCTCGGAAAGAGTCTTAACAGATTAGAGTCCTCTCGTTATTAGAGGCGACAGAAATGATTATGCACTTTACATAGTTTATCATCATATTATTTCTGTCCGATAATAATATAACATATCAATAATGTGGTATAGTTAGATGCTAATGTTGGAATACTGCAATATCTCTCGCTTCGTTGTTTGTCCATTAAGGTTGAAAATATGCATTTCTACGGTTCCATAACACAATGTGCACAGCAAAGAATAACAGCTGAGTCGTGAAAATGCCCAATGACAGAATTCGACAAAATTAGGTATACCGGTACACTAATTATTACTAGAGTAACCTGGTTTTAATGCAGAATAATGCATCCTAAATCCAGCTCTATAAAATCCCCATAAACGACTAGTATTAAGAAAAGAATTGTGCATAGCTTTAATAAAAAATTTATGAGCTACAGCATTTCAAATGTGGCGAGAATGTAACAAAATACAAGGAAGAATTTCTGACTTTAATGCCCCAGGCAATCTGTAGCCCTTTTGTAACAATAGATTTACATTTGGAATAAATGGACATCAAGACTAATGAGAATCTTCAATGAGAATTGTTGAGTGAAATATTTTGGTCTTCATATTCAAACAATGAACTTAAACAAAAAAAGACTATCAGTTTTATAATAAATCACAATGAATGAAAATAACGTGGCAAAGTGTGGATCTACTGTAACAGAATGCTCATGTATTACAAATGGTCTCTCTGCGATTCTGCGTAACTTACGTATCTTGACAGGATTTGAGGTTTTTACGGCGGTGAGACCGAAGTTAGCTAAACTAATAACAAAGAACTTAGTTTCACAGTATTATTAAGGTATATTTTGTACTAGCTGAGTAAGCTACCATATGGTGATGACTACACAATATTCTGTTTAATCTGCAGTTGCTGTGGGGATGCATGTTCACATGTCTGACTCTTGGACAAGGATTCTTCCTGCCCAGCTTTTCCAGCAGCTACCCGAAGAAATCGTACGTATTAGACTTGAAGTTTGTTATTACGTAATATATCAAAACTTTATAGATTTACCTATAACTGGTACTGTAACGCCACACAGTGCATGTGCGAATTCAATTTGCAGTGTTCGGTGGTGTCCTTCACTGACCTTAACAAACGCAGCGCCAAAGATGGCTGTCTTTTGGGTTATAGCGTCGTAAATAATTCAGTAATGGAAGCAGATGAAATTAAATTCTACTCAAGATATGAAATATTTTTGAGTATTTTATGTTTTTGTTGTATACAGATTTTGAGGAGCCTAGATATTATGCTATTTGGTTAACTCAAAATATGTGTACGAAATGAATTTATTATTTATTTAGTGTCCTGTCTGACGACAGGTCCATATGAACAGGATCCTTCCTTCCTTCTCTCGGACTGGGACCTGTTCATATACGTTCTTGGCAGATGATCCAGAAGTGGTTTGCCATTGCCTTCTTCTGTGTGTGAATGGAGTAATTGTTGGGATGCCACGGAGAAACCGGGGAAGCCCCCGGAGGAAAACTTTGTGTTGTCCAGACCACGGCCTTGCCCAACATAAGTTATAAATTCGGGCACCGCCGGGAATCGAACCCGAGACCCCAGGATTACTAGGCCAGCGTTCTAACCGCTAGACGACCGTGGCTATACGAAATGAATTATAAAGTTTAAAAATGAATGCCTCAAATATATTACAAAACGCTTTCGTTAGGCAACTAAATCTGCTCTCCAGTAAGATGAGGATGTCGATTACACTTTCCAAAGTCGTCAAAATGGTTTTTGTCACATGAGAAGAAGAAGTATGAAATTAGGTTAATGGGTTTTTGTTTTGTTGGAGGATTAAGTGGAGGCATAAAATGCTTTCCATTTTTCTTGGAGATCCTGTCACAGATTTTACGAAGCAC